ATTACAAATTCAAATTGTATTACATATATAAGGGAAAAAGACTTGTGTTAAATATGATGCTTAGTAATCAGTAAATTGAATTACCTACACACAAGGTATATTGATTTGATGAGAAACTGAAAAATACTTATTAATGAACTTTCAATTGAATTAAGCTTTGTTTAATAATATTGGCAGCCCTCCATTAATAAAACCATGTTTTATGTAATTTTTGACAAATAACTTGACAGTCTGGTCGCTCTCACATTTTACATCACAAGTGTTCAACTTTAATGTGGGCGATCATCATGGTTTTCATTTAAGAAGCTTCCATAGCCTAAAACAGACATTAAAGATTCACTGTGTGCATTTCTTCCTGTCCCTCTGGTTCACACCCAAGTCATGTTGTTCCTGCTCTACTGCTCCTCCCAAACACACAGACACAAGCTTGCTACTTGAACACAAGAGAAATGATTCAGTAAATGTAAAAAAAAAAAAAAAAGACAATTTCAGCTTCTGTATGGCCCTTTCCTCTTCAGAAGTATTTCACACTGAATATGGCTCACTGTTAATGTCACTGTCATTATCACAGAGGTAAACACAGAGGTAATCAGATCCTGTACAAAATTACCCCCCCCCCACACACACACACCCCACCTTTACAAAAGAATAGTAAATGGTCTGTATTTATATAGCGCTTTTCTAGTCTTGATGACCACTCACAGCGCTTTACAGTACAAAAGAAGAAAATAAATACAGAATACTTTGATCCACAAAACATCATCATCATCATCACCATCACCATCACCATCACCATCTGTATAATCCTATGAATGAAAATTGATTTCCAGATTGTTGCTCTGTAGAAATGAATGGCAGTTATATCAATTAGTCATAATCAAATGAAGGCTTAAGTAGAAGTTGTATAAATGTCATTATCACAAATAAAGAACATGGCTGTAGTGGCTCCACTAAGAGGTTTTCTTTGAAACTGTTAACACCAGGAGTTCAGCTGGACAAAATAAAACCTGATGGATTTACAAGGTCTTAATTTGGATCAGGAAGTCCAATAAAGACAACAATAAAGTGTAGTAGAATCGTCAAAAATGAAATAGTGGAGACTGAAAGATCCTGATCTTTAGACTTTAGTGTGAGACAAGCATCAGAAAAGCCTTATCCTTCTTTTTCAACAAAGTAAGTTGAAAGTATCTTTCTGTTAGACCCTTCCTATTAGGTAAACGCCAGCTTTGTTAAACTCCACATGTGCAGTTTGTAACACAAGCTCTCTGTTTTCAAATTGCAGTCAAAGCTGATATAACCCCGATGACATCACTATGACAACAGCAGGGTTATTTTCTGGGACTGAATATCTTCCAGAAAAAGAGGAACATTTTATTATTGTGCTAAATAGGACTGAACGATGAGTAAACAGGCTTTGAGTAGTGAAGTGACTCGAGCAGAAATTACAATAATAATGTTATTTAAAAGATGCAAAGTCCAAAATATGATTTACACTTTTGTTTGATTTATCATAGGAAAATCCATGGTAAAACACTTAAGTATTTAAGGCAAGCTAAGTTAATAATAATAATTATTACAACAATAATAATAATGATACGAAAATAACATGTCACATTGAAAAACGAAAAACGATTTTTTGTCATGTGTATCTATTGTATTTCTGTGTAGCGGATGAATTTAATGAATGGTTACCATATTTTAAAGATTTCTTTATAAATTGGGTACAAATCAGTGGTATCTTTTGTTGCATACACCAATCAGTTGCAACATTAAAACTGTTGACTGAGTTTAATATTGTAAATGGTCTGTATTTATATAGAGCTTTTCTAGTCTTGAAGACCTCTCAAAGTGCTAAACAGTACAGTTTTTCCATTCACCCACATCATACACACATTCATACCGTGTATCCATGTGCAGCACTTCCTCTATCAAAATGCAATCACACACTAATGGCTCAGGCATCAGGGGCAGTTTGTGGTTCAGTATCTTGCCCAAGGACACTTCAGGACACAAACTGGTAGACACTTAGATCGAACCACCAACCCTCTGGTTAGTGGACGACCCACTCTATCTTCTCAGCAACAGCCACCCCAGTATATTGTGTCTGATCAGACATAGTTCATTCATTAGGATACTTACAACGTCTTTTAACAGCTATAATGTATAGTATTACTTTTTTTTATCTCTACGAACTTCTGTTTTATTTTCATATTTACTACTGTGATCAGCTTAAACCTACACTTTAAAACTCAAAACACAATAATTCTGTGCACAGTTTTGGTGCCGTGCGCAAAACAAGAACGTTTCACATTGCATTTGTATTATTAGTATTATTGTCATTTCTGTCCCTGTCACTCAAATGTCAGACATTTAAATAGTGTCTGGACATTTTAGTGGAGTTGATTATTTTTCCTACTTAGTCGGAGTCACACAAACCCTTACATACATGACAACTTGAAAAACCTCTCTGGATGGAGAAGCTGATTATTACTGAATATGCTTATGGCATTTTAGCCAAGCAGTGGTCCTGTCTCTTTCAAATAACATTCACAGGAAAAAAGGACTCTGACTAAGAAGAAAACAAACATTTTCAATCCTTACAGGACCTGGTCAAACAAACACTTATGACTGATATTTTACAACAAATTGTGACATGTGTAACATCTCTTTAAACCATTAACAAATATGCATTGGTTCTCCCGACCTCTGTGATGGAGTTCTCAGCATCTGTTTGGTTAATGACTGACATTTTAGTTAGTGAGACAGCTGCTTTGCTATCTCCACTGATAGTTAATATTGGGTGCTGCCCGCAATTACCAGTTTTTTGCATGCCTCCCAGTAAAACTATTACAGCAATGTAAAAGAATATAGTAATAATATCAGGCCAACTGTCAGATTTTTTGTTAATGGAGACTTGTGATGAAAATACCACTTTTCATTTGGTTCTCTGGGGTGGCTACCAATACAGAAAGGCCATAATATCTCAAACAGGTATTTTTTTTAGGGGTTGCGAAGCCTGAAAACATGTGAATCAGTGGGGCATTCAAATCTCGAGCCCCAAATGATGTCAAGTTAGACCCCCCTCAGAATCATAACACAAGATTCAAATGGATTTAATTTGTTTATCAGGACAAGTTCATGTCCCATGGAGGGCAGTGGAGCCTGGCTGAATAGCGGGAAAAAGGCACTCCTAATTCCCGACTATCAATAGCCCTGCCTCACACAGTATTCCTTGCACACAATATTGCTGAAGAGTTATTATACCCTTTAAAAAAATGTATTATCCACACACCCAAATTGGAAAGAGAAACAGTGATCATGGCGTTCTCTTTTTAGAAGGGAAGAGAAAGAAACTGCTTTTATATTAAAAGGGCCTGATGTGTTAATGTAAGACCTGAAAGAATGACCTCTAAGGCCTGAGATATACTTGCTGTTAACTATGTGTGTGCATGATGGCTGCCTCGCGTATCCTGCGTCCATATGGAGCGTCGGTTGTGCACGTCCTTAGAAATTAACACTACACATACGCCAGATGTGATAGTGACTTGACCGTTAAGGGCAGTGTAGCGGCAGTATTACGCCATTGTCACGCCGTGCTTGATTTAAGGGCCTCAGAGACCATCTTTGATGGCACCGCCGTCTCTCCGTGTGCCCTGATCTCAGAATGAACAAAATGGTAACCTCCTCGTGTGTCGCCATGTTTGTTGTTTACATCATGCAAATATGGAAGTTCTATATTTTCCGATTTCTCTGATTGTCCTCTAGAGGTATCCTCCGGTAAAACGTGTAGTACATCGGTAAGTGTGTGAACAACTACGTTCACAACGCTTGTTTAAACAGTAAGTATATCTCCGGACTAAGTACTGATCTGTTCAGAGTGTGTGAACCATGGTGGATGTGAGGTGTTGTCAGATGACACAGGGTTGTGATCGTGTGTTTACTACTGTGTGTTTGTGTCGGATAGTCCATCAACTCTGTACATACGATAAGACCCAAAGAACAACATTCAACATCGACCAAAGGTCAAACCAAGTCCTGTCAGATTTTACTAAACCTGTGAAGCTGAAAATACACAGCCACCACTCTGCAGAACATCACATGCAGCAATGCTCTACAGGGTTAAGTATGTCCAACTGCTTCTTCCTGTTCTACACTGGAAATCAGAGTTAAAAAAAAAAGTCAGTCATCATAGCCTCCTCATGGCTGCCTCTTTCAGAGTCTGCTTAACAACTGACTTCTTTTTGTCTTCCCACTCTAAACATAATGGATTCTATGAATGGAAATGGACACCTTCTAATACCTTAATCCCAATCAACCACAATCTTTCACTCACATTAGCCAAGTTGGTGACTTAACAGTCTCACTCTGTATTCAGTCCGATTTTAGAGCCCCTGATTATACCAAAGAGCTCTTGAGGTTTGAGGCAACCCACTGATAGATAGTGACCAGGATCTGGTGGGTCTTATATTGTCAACATTGTTCATGATGTTTTTAATACATGTTGGCTAACTTCACTGCATTCAGCCCCCTGAGCAGAGAGCACTAGAGCAGCGAACAGAAACATGTGCTGCTCCTCTGCATCATGCTGTCTCTTTATGCATCACAGTTTGGAAGTTAGGTCACTTTGAGAGAGGAATTGGTTTTCGAAGTTAAAAGCCTGTCATGCAGTTGTTTCTGTGTTGCTCTGTATTCAATGTTGCAGCTGTTCAAAAATGCTATGATTCTTCTAACGCCATTGCTGCAGTGATGTACTGGTGAATTGATTAGCTGTGATTAGCAGTGACACAGACCCAGGGAGCCCAGCTGAATGCAGCTGTGATTTCACATTTGTGGTAAATTGTTTAAATCTGTGGACAGGATGGAAGAGTGGGGGGTGGGGGGATATCAGTGAAAAAATGGCAAGGTTGTCTTGAGAGTGCATTAATTGTGCATATCTGAATAATGTATTCATACTATATATCTGTGTGTGTGTGTGTGAGTGTGTGTATCTGGAAATGTCTTCATAGCCTTGTCTGAGCTTCTGGAATGTAGATCTCAATGCTGTCGGCACTCTCTGTTGCTGAGTTTTGTCGTACAGAGGCAGCTCTTTTGGCTGCCATCAGGCGCTTCCTGGCCTCCTGTCGCTGTTTCTCTGAGCTCTCCAATGAGCGGTCCCTGGCCAGAGGAGGGTGGTGGTGGGGGCCCTTGGGTGGCTTTTTTGGTACTGGAGGTGGAAGTCGCCTCTCCTAGTGGGAGAGGATGGTAGGGGAGGGAGGGCAGAACATTTCAGGGAAAAGACAGACGTGTGTTTTGGGATTTTTAACCTATTCCCTACAAGTGTGGATTCACTGTTTCCATTTTCCAACATATACACTTTGCTGTACAATTATCTATCTACACAACTAAAAACTGTACACAGCCTACTATACATTATTGCCACATGCGGGTAACATGGGTCTGTATAGGCTTTCATTTTATTATTATAGTGGGGAATTTCAGTTCATTAAATGCAAGTCTGTCTTGTGCCAGAATTTGTCTTTGCACCCATTGTAGTTTTTAATTAACAGTGCAAAAAGCATAATTCAGGTTTATGGGTCTTTTGGCAGCACTATACTCAGCAAAGTAAATGCTGACATCCTAGAACACATGGCTTCAACAAAGTCGGAGGTATCATGAAACACAAGCAGTCAGATTATCTGACAGGTGTAGCATTCAAACCATATTATCTGAAGGTCAAATGGAGCATATGTGCACCCAAAATGGTTCCAGTTTCATAAAACTACAGGAAGTAAAGTGGGAGAAATTTAAAGCAGGGAATTGGTCTTTGAACTTTGATGAATGGACAGAAAAAGTTTGTTCATTTCATACCTTATGTTTCTGAGTCTGTCTGACAGCTCATGTTTCTTGAACTGTCAGACTTATCTGTAACATATGCTGCCATGGTAGTAGACCTTGACCATCATCTTGCAAGTACAGCTTTGAGATTATGGACAAAAGTCTGAATATGAGACCAATGTTGTAATAAACAAGACATATCCTATAACAAGTACACTCCATTTCCTATGGAGTAGACTTAAAACCACAAGACATAAAAATGTAATTATATTAAAAGGACACTGTCTGATAAAATCATTAATGATTGTGAAAATGCACATAAATTTAATGTAGAAAAATCAGGATTGTCCAGCAATGACAGTTAACTAATATAATTGTTATTATTGTTTCAGGTAACTGTATTTTTTCAGATAAATTTACCAATTTAAACTGGTAAAGCTGAGCCAAGAGAATGAGTGAACAGTTTCCTGTAAAAGTCTGTATTCCCTCATGTATTATATTCGCTTATTTATTGCTGATATTTAAATAATAGTATATGCTGAGCTGCCAGTCCAATAAACACATAAAGACAAAGGTATCCCATATATTGGGCGATTAGTTAGACTTACTTAGCATACCCATTATTTTACTGGTATTGTTTTTTTTGTCCCATAATTTCCTTCTTTTTGATATTTTACAGTTGTAATGTATCAATCTCTCCTGTCCAGCTTTCTTGACCCTGACAGCCAAATCACAGAAAACAAATAATGCACATGCTGAGACAGTAGCAGGCAACAGAAGGAATGGTAAAAGGAAGGAAGGAAGGAAGGAAGGAAGAAAGAAAGGATGGAGAGACAGACATGATGGATCTACGGAGGCCCAGAGGTGTCAAGGCCTTTTTGGTGTTGGTATTGCAGTTATGTTGACTGATGCGTGGCTGTTTGCAAGCACCTTCACTGTAAACAAAAAAAAGACAAGAAAGAAAAAGACAATGATGACAGCAAATGAGGAAGCCATCAGAGGCAACAATCACAATGATGCAAAATCACAACCCACACTGCTGAGAGAGAGCAACAGAACAGGGAAGCAGATAAATGTCATAAACTAACATCATCCACCTGCAACAAAAAGCTGAGGCCATGGAGCTGGCAGTTTTTTTGTAGCCTATTGTTGATATCATTGTGACCGTTTTGCTTCAAATATACAGATTCAGCAACATTCAACATATTTGCTATTGCCTCACAATCATCATCATTTTTACAAACTGTGTAGCTCCTGTATAAAAGTCTGGGGATGACTGTGGCAGGTTGATTTTGTGTGGAAAAAAATTAACCTCCCTTGTGCCAGCCTGTTACAGCAGCTTTCGTTCACTTCAAGCTTTTTTCTCCTGCTAACTTTGGCAGTGGAGAGAGATAAATGTAAAGTAAAAGAGCTGGTAGTGTTTGCTAATGAGAGAGGGTGTCACTCTGGTTACATCTCTGTTAAAAGCATGACCTTACAATTTACCGCTGGAATTATGTGTATGTTCCCTCCTCAGCTAATTCAGCCTGTGATGCCCTTCACTCTGTGGTGAGCAGGCTGCAAGACACAGCACCCGTAGCTTCTCCTCCTCATCTCTGATGATGTTGGTCACTCAGTAAATCACATGCCACACAAGAGAAAATAAAATACTGGACCTGGACCCATGCTTGCCAGTGAAGCAAGGCAGCTGCTGTACAAAGGTCATGGGGAAGACATCGACATCTTCACACACTGCATCACAGAATACATTAACTTCTGTGTGGAAAACCACCAGAACTGTACTTTTTTCCCCCAAAACAAACTGTGGTTTAATCCTGATATAATGGCCCTCCTAAAGGGAAAAAATAGGGCTTTTGGCCAGAAAACAAGGAGGAGCTGTAGGCCGTACAAAAGGAGCTGGAAGACCAGCTACATGAAGAAGATGGAGGACCAGCTGCAGCAGAGCAGCGTCAGTGGTATCTGTAGAGGCCTGAAAACCATTTCTGGCCACAAGAAAGCTGACTCCCTGGCTACAAGGGACCAAGGGAAGAAGGCAAATCATCCGAACCTGTTCATTAAAAGGTTTGAACGGTAAACTGCACCTTCCCACACCCTGAAAGCCCTGCTGCAATCCCCTGTGTGTGCACCCCCAGTATAGTTTGTTGAGAACATAAGTCGGACGCTGTGAAGAGAACTACACGCTTGTGTAGGATGCTTCTCTTCAATCATCTCTGCCTCTTGGTAGTCCATGATGATCATGCTCCTTGATTTCCCCTGTAACTTCAGCACTATTCAGTGTTATTCACGATTGAGATAGTAAACTGCACTTTGTAAGAAGGGTCTGAGCAGACTGTATCTGCTCAGGTCTTTTGAAATGTAGGGGGTGCTCCTATAGACCTTTTATGACTCTTTGTTGGCATCAGCCATTTTGTTTGGTGTGGTCAGCTGGGGCAGCAGAATCTCAACTAGTGACAGGAAGAGGTTGGATAGACTGATTGAGGCAGATTCATGCTTTTGAGTTGAAGCTGAACCGTATGTAGTCTACACACGTGGCTAAGCATTCATAGTTGTGCGTAGGTGTGTGTCAGACACGCTGCACTTAGGCTAGTGGTGGTATAGTTTCTCTGCTGATGTTGAGTGTCTTTCCGGTGTCTGGTCCACTTATTTATTCTCTGTCATCTCTATTTACTTCAGAACAAAGGTGATTGTTATTAAGTTGATGTGTTGGAGTTGGAGCTGATAGATGTTGAAGAGCAATGACTTTTTCTTAAAGAACCGCAACGAAGAATAGAAATACTTTGTCCTTGTTCATTCCTTCAACTCAATTAAAATATGGAAAAATGGCGGCGAGTCTGCCAGTGATGCAGGGTTACATTTTTGGCACTTCAGTGTACGGCTGGATCATAGTGCCTGATCAGTCAGTCTGTGTGCCAGCTTTTACTAGTTTCTGCCAGTTTTCCTGCTTTAACTAGCATTTTACTGTTCTGCATTTCTGTCTACTCCATTCCAGACTCTGCTCTCAAGCCATCGCCTTGCCCTTCCTGCTCTGCAGCCTTCTCCCCATCTGTTTGCCAGCTTACTGTTAAGCTCTACAAGCCACCAGCATCAAAGTCATCATCAGCCACTCTCCAACAGCTCAGCTCCACCAGCGACCAGCTCAGTTTCACATTGCCCAGGTCACCTCTGCTCATATTCGTTCAAGAACTGTAAATAAACCTCTATTGATTCTAACTCCAGTCTCCTGCCTCTCCTGTATCTAGGTGTTGGGTTCACCTGTGTAGCTGTAACATTTATAGCTTTCATATTCCTACAAAATCATAGCTGACATGATTGAAACTCATTTTTGGATTTCAGGAAGGTAACAGGGCAAATGAGAAAATGAAAATTTTGTTTTCGGAAGATGTTTTTTTTCAGATGTTTTTTTTTTTAAGAATATATTAAAAATGTAATGCGTAAGTACACACTGTATTTTACTCTTAGCTAAAGGTATGATCAGCTGGTTTCTGCTGAGCCTGTATAGTATGTGTGTATTGGCTCACTGAATATACTGTAAAGCATTGTGATCGTTTTGAGCAGAGGTAACGAGAAAGACTATTTTAGTTTTTGTGTAAATTAGATTTTGGAAGAATTTTTTTTCCGATGGAATAGAATAATAGAGGTATGCTGAAATAAAAGTTTTTTTGTTGGCAAATGAGACATTCATTAGTCCTAAAAATAAGAATGTAGTGACATTTCAGGAAAGGTACTTGTGTGCATGGGTAAATTGACTTGCTTGTGTTTCTTGAAGACATTTTACTTTTCACCCAAGAGGCTTCTTCAGTGGGAGGTTTGAGGTATTTAAGGGGATAGTTCTTCAAAAAAAGAAAATTCACTTATTATCTACTCACATTCGACTTGAAACTGCGTAATTTACTAAATGTCAGTTTTTTAGGCTAAATGTAAAAGACCCACAGGTTACAAACCTGAAACATCCAACTTGTCAGGTGCAGTATACCTGAAAATGAGTTTTGGATGAGAGGTGAAACATCTACAAGGAACACAAACAAGACGGAAGCTATGTACACATAAATCTTGATGAAACCATGATCTGAAAACCTTTGCAGACACAATGTAAAACTCCCATTCAGATGATCAAGCAGTCAGCCTGGTGGTGAACTAAGAGCTTCTGTGAGTGTACCTTTCTCTCAGGGGGATCCAGAGGTCTCCAGTTGTTGGCTCTGAGCTGGTGAAGCTCATCAAACTTCAGGCTTATGTTCTCAATTGACAGCTGAAGCATATCCCAAAAACCAGCCAGGTCTGAAGCCACAGGACGAGGGTGGGCTTTAGGGTTCTGTGACAACAGAAAAGAATGAGAAGGTAGAAGGAGTAAATTATTTCAAACATTATGTCATTTTTTTTACAGAGCAGCTCAAAAGGTGTTGCACATTTTTTTTAAAAAGATTCAAAATTTTGGCTTTCAACCTATAGGGCAACACCTAAACTAAGAGGCATGGTGTTAAGATTTAGTATATAAGTGAACCCAAAAGCAGACTCGGGGATCAGCAGAGTGACCTCGGATGCCCTGCAGTTGTGTCGAGCAGGCCGAGGAGGAAGGAACACGCCCCCGGCTGATCACATACACACACACACACACACACACGCAGAGAGGGAGCCAGGGGGAATGAGATAGGGGAGAAGAGAGCAGCTATGGCGTGGATCATAATGGTTACCCCCATCATTTTGGCATTAGCTCCATAACCCCACCCACACTATCAAGTGCTCATCCCCCCTGCTCCAATCTCTTCCACATAAGAACACAGGTGAGGAAGGAGTTCAGAGAGATAATAAAGGCTAGAGGTCCAGTTAGCATCAGTTCCAGGCTGCTTCAGTCCTGTACAGATCAGCTGTTCAGGATTGTAGGGCATATCTTCAACATGAGCCTGATGCAGGGGAGATTGCCACAGATGACACACAGTTGTGTCCCAAAGAAGCCTGGCAGCACTGTGATCATTTATTTTCTGTCATGTTATTTCTCCAGTGCTTTCAACACATACACATTATGTTCTGCTATGTCTTTCTTGAAAATTCCTTGGAAAAATGGATTTGGTTTTCTTCAACCATAATCTCCATTTTTTGAACAAGGATCTTGCAAAATGTTAATATACAGGCTGCACTTCTGTGGGACAAACTAAAGCACTCAGAAGTGAAATACTACCTCGTAGCTCTCTGGGCAACATCTACTCCACTAAGGGCCCCCCTTATGCTACAGGCCCTCTACTATTCCAAGTGGCTGCTCCTCAGTTACCCCAGCACCTCATTCTTGGTACCTCCAGAATCTCAGCCAGACCTTCAGTGCGTCCTCGCCTTCAGATCCCACTTTCCCAAATTGTAATTTGGAAAACCCCCATGGATATACCATTCTTAACAGTTCTCTTACAAACCTCAATCTTCTTTCTGACATATTGCTCTTGCCTACTTTTTTTTACAATGCCTATGAAAGATTTGTACGGTTCTGTAGCTTACTTACAGATGGATGATAAGACTGAGGGACTCAAATTGAATATGTTATGGCTTTTCTGGAACTGTCTGCTGCCGTGAACAGAGCTCAGCTGGCTCAGACAAAGAGTTCTTAATTCTTACTGACAAAACAGTGTTCTGGCTAGATTCCATTACAGGCTTGTTTAAAGTCAGAAATCTGTTGGCACCTAGTTGTTGCAAACAGCATTACAGGAATCCAAGACCAAACCAAAACTTCAAACATTCCACATTTCCTGCAAAGCTTGCAAGATGGACCAGAGACCCAGCATTTCTAGCTTTCAATTCTGATCAATGGCGTGTCAAGGCACCACCATGATTATTGTCCAGGCAACGCACCAAAGCTTACAGAATACCAACACATATACCACCACTGGAGCCCATCATTCACATGAGCATATGTTGAAACGCTCTTTTAACAATCTCAGTCACAAAGTTTCCCAGATGATTTTCAGGCCCTTTATTCTGATAAGTTCTTTACAGAGATCAGATGGTCATACTGGACTTTCCATGGCTGGTAAGCCATTTAGCAGCACCAGCTTATTGGATAACGTTCAGGAAGTGTAGAGATAGGCCTATAACCCCCCAAAAACTCAAAACCTGAGTCAGTTAGCTGCCATTCTGAGATTTGCATTTCCTGGAAAAGGGACACCTTTTCCATCAATCAATGGATCTCAGTTCTCTATTTCAAAGGAACCCAAAGGCAATGATTAGTATAAAAAAATGAGAATTATTGACAAATATCTACTATGAAGATAATAACAGCATTGATGATAATGCAGGAAAAATGCAAATGGTTCAATAGAAAAGAAAAGGTGGTAATTTGGCTTATAGCAGTAGATAAAATGATAGGGTGGAATGTTCAGTGATAACGCTAACAGCAACAAATCCAAGACTAAATGTGCAAGTTAATTAATGAATATCTGAAAGTAAATTAACAGAATATAATTTTGATCTACGTGATCTCTCACAGAGGAGTTGGCAGCTTCATGCAGTGCTGCCCGTAGTCCCAGCAGTTCAGGGTTGAGGCCTTGTCTGCAGGCCCTTTCCTCTGGCACTAGCTTCTATTATTAATAACAGTATTTCTACTATAAATATCACTCTGACAGAGCTTAAACATGACAGTTATACAACTGTTCCCAGACTCCCCCCTCCCTCTCTTCTCTCACCTCTTTTTCACCCATCTCTCCTGTCTCTTCCATCTTTCTCTGCCCACCCTCAACCGTCAAGGCAGTTGGCCGCCCACACTGGGTCTATCTCAGCTAGAGGTTTTTTTTTACAATTATAGATGAGGGGTTTTTCTCCAAGGTTGTTGAGCTTCTCTATAATATTGTAAGGTCTTGACCTCAAGTGACTTGAGATAATGTATGTTATGATTTGGTCCAATATACATTTTTCTTATTGAATTGGATCTTTGATTAAGTTGATAGAAAGTTATTAAACAAACAAATGAAAATTAATTTGAAAATAAATAAAAACATAAGGCACATATGAGATTAAGTAATACTAAAGATAAAGTCCTTGATAAAGTCACACAGCTGATCAACTGTGGGACGTTCTCCAGTGATACTCCAATGATGTAAAGTTTGTCTTTGGGTCAGGTTTTAAAACTCATCACAGCACAGAGACATCTTCAGCAAATGTCACAAATTAACTTCTTATTGCTTTAGAAAAGAGTTTGTCTTTGTCCTTGTCTTGCTAGATCTCCATGCTCTATTGATTACCACATCCTACCAAGACACTGGAACAGTTAACTGGCATTAAAGGAACTGCCTTAAGCTGGTGTATTAGAAATTCTAATATCTAAGATTGATGTTTGTGGAGGTGAGGGGGCTGGGAGAGAACCTTCACCTGCGCCACAGAGGATCAATCAGCACAGGAGAGAGCTGTTAGCTGATTGATCCTCAGGTTTAAAAGGCAGTGCCTTTTTTTAATGATGAGTCATCTGTGCACACTAAAACAAGGGTTCTGTGCACGGCCCAATATCAGCTAACTAAACATCATGCATGTTTTAAGGACATAAACATCTAGATGACCTGCAATTTTCTTTTAAAAGTTCTGTTATTTGGACCTCAACACTTCAGAGATGCATTTCCTAATGGTATAGCTACTCTGGATTACACCGCCCTTGCCTCTAATGAAACCCTCTGGGAATTGGGTGTAAAAAAAAAATAAAAAAAATAAAAGTAAAAAAAGATCAATAAAAATGATACAAATAGTTGGTATTAGTAAGTATAGTATGGTTGTCACAGTGGAAGTCTGTCTCATTGAATCAGAGCACATCTAATCAGGTTAGATGAATGGTCAGAGGTCCATAAGAGGTTCCCATGTTCTCAAGAAGATTTCCCCCTTATTTCACTTTCATAAGTATAAGTGTGTTGTTCCAGTTATGGTGTATCATTTTAAAATTTGATTGAATTTCAGAATTTCCAGAATTTCCTCCATCTTTGACAACCCCAGAGTCAGTAGTCCTGCTCTTTTCAAAGTAGTAATTAAGTTGTGAATTTGTGAATAATTGCGAATTTTTAATTCTTTTTTTTTTTCCATATTATGATTTTCTTTATATCAAACTGAGGGTGGCAGGTCTGGATTGGAGGATAGTGGAGCTAATGTCTGTCAACACTGTCTGACCAGATCATCACCTTGGATGGTAGTTTGTCCCCCAGCTCCACTGTCGAAATGTAATTTGACTCACATATCAAAACAAGTCTCTAGGATAGCTTTCTTTCACGTGTGCAATATTATGAAAATAATAAGGACCACCTGTCTCAGGAGAATGCTGAGAAACTAGTCCACGCATTTGTTACCTCTAGACTAGATTACTGTAACTCTTTATTATCAGGATGTCCTAGGAAATCTGTAAAAAGTCTCCTGTTGGTCCAAAATGCTGCAGCACGAGTGCCGACAGGAACTAGAAGGAGAGATCATATTACTCATTTCTTAGCTTCTCTACATTAACTCCCTGTAAAATTCAGAATCGAATTCAAGATCCTGCTCCTCACATTTAAAGCCCTTAATAATCAAGCCCCTTCATACATCAAAGACCTGATAACACCATATTATCCAAATAGATCACTTCGTTCACGAAACACAGGCTCTCTTGTGGTTCCAAGAGTCTGTAAGAGTAGAACAGGAGGTAGAGCATTCAGCTACCAGGCTCCTCTCCTGTGGAACCARCTCCCAYTCTGGGTTCAGGAGGCAGACACCATCTCTGCATTTAAAGTTAAAGTTAAAACCTTCATTTTTGATAAAGCCTATAGTTAGTTCCGGATCAGGTGAGTCCTGAACCATCACTTAGTTATGCTGCTGTAGGTCTAGACTGCTGGGGGAACTCCCATCATGCACTGAGCACTTCTCCCCTTCTCTCTACCCCCACATTTATTTATTTTACTACATCCCACCCATAGTCTCTCTTACACTCATTTTTCCTCTCCACAGTTGCCAAAGTGTTTGCTCATTGGGTTTCTCTCTCTATGTAAAGTGCCTTGAGATAATGTATATTATTATTTGGCGCTATACAAATACAATTGAATTAAATTAAAAATTTAAAACATGGTTTTGTTTAGGATAAACAATCTCTTGACACTGTTTGAGTGTTAATTGTTGTTGTCCCTCACATGTCATGCATTCTTCACAAACACAAAAATGGTACACGTTTATTGCTTTAAATCATTTTCAGTTACAGAGAATCAAGAAATCAATGAAAATGTATGACTGTGTGTATTCAGTAGGAGTAAAAGTGTTTGTGACTCACCAGGTTCTCCTCACACAGTTCCCTGAACTGCTGGAACTTCTGAGACATCAGAAGCTGAGCGCTTCCCACTGCACTCCTCATCTTCCCAAGGACTACAAGCAAAGACAAAGTTTATAAAGAGACTGCACTATCAGTCCATTAATCTGTGTTTGAGAAAAAGTATAACTTACCATTTTAAACCCTAGGAGGCCAATTGGATATGGGCTAAACTAATACAATTTGACTGAATGACTGATTGATTGATAATCACATTTTGTTGTCCTGCATAAGGACAAGGTATGTCTTTCTAATAATGAATAATTTGCAGATTTTAATAAATAAGTATTTTAAATTAACATATTTCAAGTCATGTTAATGGTTAATTCAATTTGGTTGCAGTTATGTTGCCTGCTAACAGTTTAGTTAAACAGAAAGGAGACTACGATCTAAATGTCTTACTATTCCATGACAATTTAAAGTTTCAGTTTCACTCTTCACCTTGCACAGCTGTACATCTTACAAAGATATGTTTGTTTTTGACCCCATTTGACCTGTTATGAGCTGCTGCATTGTATTCTCTCTTATACACCACCATTAATGATAATGAGTGAAACTTGTTGTACAATTCAATGTTTGGCTGTTCTCCACTTTTTACTGTCATGCTTTACTCTTGGCAATAAGACCAAACTTCCACTTTTGTTTCCCAGTACCATACCTAATACTATCTATTTATCATTTCCTATAAAATCTCCAGCTTTTCCTTTTGTCTCTTCTACGTTACCTACATTTAACTGCCAACAGGAACCAGTCACTATATTAGAAGTGCCGGATTAATTTAAATTACATTGTTATTGCTAAATGTATAAATGTATGTATTAAGGCACAAAACAAACCTACAGGACTACATATGTCAGATTTGATTGCGTGTAATATCTTTCATAGTAACAAAAATACTTGCAACCTAGACATGATGAACACACACATAAAGACATACTATCTTCAGGCAGGTCATTTTCGCGTTGGTCGAGCTCCATCTGGTGGCACCAGCCCTCCATGCGGTCTGTCTCAGCCTGAAGCAGCTTTAGAAACCAGCGTCCATCTCTGTGACACACTGAACGCTGCACCACCTGCCAGTCAAACATCCAGACTTTCAGAACATGCAGAGACTCACCTGCACTGGCAATTTTTACACACATAATAATTAATCAAAGCATAATTTTATACTTATATTATATATTACAATTCAATACATATTAATTAGCAAGGTCAGAATTCCTGGAATGACTGATGAGTTAAATTTCATAAAACATAATGTACTGTATGTTTGTGCAGTGTCACAGTTATAGGACATAAACTATATAGATGCTGTGATGTGATAAATATTCCTGCTGTAATGCTACATCACTGATTTGGAACCAAGTGTTGCCTCACTGAAAACTCAAAACAATGGGCCTCATTCAACAATATCTTCTTAAATTCCTCTTAAATTTGCTCTGAAGAATGTTCCTAATAAAATTGGTCGGATTCATGATGTGCTCTTAAACTGCAGAATTCTTGAAACATGAGGTCTTATATCGATGAATCCATTATCTTTTGTTGAAAGCATGTGCCAGATATTCCTAATTAGAATAGGTTAATATTATAATGATACAATATTAAGCAAATTTAAATCCTATATTATAATATATAATATATATAATTGAAGAAAGCACAACAAATTATAATTTTTTAATGCAGGCCATTTGTCTAGTGTGTGTAAGTGTAAAGGTAAATGTTAAAGGATTCTGTTCTAAGAACAAATTCAGATCAGACAACAGTGGGGACAGTTAGAATCTATGTAAAATCTGCATTAGTGGGTTAGAGAAGAAAGAAATAGATAGAAATTCGTTCTTCATTAACACTGACCTATTTTCCAGTGTCATCACTGAAGAATAGATAAGATGAACTAAAACTTTATTGAGCCCACGTCAGGGAAATTGACATGTTACAGCAGCAGGTAGTCAGAATGAGGTAGACAAGAAAATAAAAAAGCAATAGAATACAAAAAGTATACAATATGATATGAATAAAATAAAAGGGTATGCAAGTGTGTGTATATATATAAATATATGATATTCATATGACCTATGCAAATAAACTTACCTTGTCTTGCCCTGAAAGAGACTAAATAGTTACTACTACTACTACTACTAGTTATACTTGATTCTCCTTTGACCTATCACTGTAACAACTTTTGCATTACAGATAATTGTTTATTCATTAAAATAACTAATTTATTGGTGCAGCATTAGCAACAGCTTAAATCAATTCAAGTATGGGAAATGTTAATTTACTGTAGTTGCTTTGTGTACCAATTTTATGTAGTGATGTATATTTATGCTGTAATGAATGATCATGGACCTATTATTATAATTCTTTGAAGTAGACCCCACATACCTCCAAGATCGTCGCGCTGTTGAAGTTCACATCAAGTGGGTCATCTATTACACTGTCTATCCAAGGGTCTGGAGGGGGGAGGATGGACGGGTCGAATCCCACATCCTCGTAGTCGTCGGAGGCACAGGCATGGTAGTGATTCCCTGAGCCCTGGATGCTGACGGTGGACGTGGCAGCATCACGGGATAATTGTCGAGAGATGGCACCCAATGACAGGACATCTAAATCAATGTCTGAGGAGTCCAAGGGAGTGTCCAGCAAGTCGGGCATGTCCAGATCTGCCTGGATGGATTAAAACACATATTAATGACTTACTGAATGAGCAAACAAATGGTTCTTCAAGTAATACCAGTCTCATAACAATTACATCATATGCAAATAAAAACTGCAAGGGTAAAAGATTTGGTAAGAAATGTAATTGGGACCATATTTGGTTTTCTATTGACAGCTATAATGAATACACTGTCTTATCTCATGAATGTCGTAAATATCAGGGTTTCCACTACATACATTTTGCAGTGGCGAAATTCATTATATATATATTATTTATATATCTCTGACTATTGACCAGCATGACCAGGCAATTCAACAACTGGAAACACTCAACAACATGGAGACCAGCCTGGCAACCCTCAAGTCCACCTGTAAAGCCCTGTCCAAAGAAAAAAACAAAGCTCTCAAACTTAAGATGGTTGATCCTAAAAATTAATTGAGACGAAACAACATCCAAATAACCAGCTTTCCTGAAAAAAATGATGAAACACTTTTGTGTAGGTATTCCTGAAGGAAACGTTTGATACAGAGGCCTTAACTGTTGTGGGACTTCAAATTCCACACCGCATCACGGGACTTGCCTAAGGGCCCTCACTACATGATAAATGTTATATGGTCTGTATTCATATACAGTGCGAAATGCTTCCAAATAAACCACAGTTCTTTAATTGTACTATGAATGTATAGTTTTACTCACGTATTGTTACATTTTTTCATGAACTCATTAAGAGAAATACAAAAAAACGACCGTAGCTGAAGCAGAAAGGAGCTCTTCCAAGTTGAAGCCCATCAAGTCCTACCTGAGGTCCACCATGTCACAGGAACACATTAGTGGCTTTATTGTGATTAGTATTAACCATGCAATTGCTGGGCAGAATGAAATGATTGATGACTTTGCGTCAAGGAAGGTAAGAAAGGTCAAACTATAGCACACCCGCTTTACCTCCGCTGCTACAACTTCATCCTAGGGGAAACAGTGGGTTTACATTAACCCATTCAGGCACACATTCATACATTGTACCTTGAGATAATGTTATGATTTGACAATTGAATGTCCATGGAGGTCTTAATCTGATGATCTGATGATTGATTGCGAGTCTCCACTCACACACCTAGGAAACCCAATGGTATTTTCCTCATTGGAGTAAAAATTCCCCTTGAGAATACACCATTTTTCCAGGGGATAACATTTCAATAGCAAGCCACTTCACAACCCACCTCCACCCCAGCACGTCCTTCTTATACTGAATCTAACTGATGTCATGTGTTGTGGGCTGTCAGCCTGCTTTATTCTGTGCCCAATTCTTTAAGCTGCTGCTCTCTGCCTCAGGTATGTTCTCCCAACATAAGGCTTTCCATGTATGCACGTGAAAGGACAGGGAGGTCCCATAAAAGAGCCATATAGTCAAATATAACTTACAGCAATCATTGAAATTCAGTTAATTTTGATGAAAGTGGGCCTGACTGAAACATTATTGTTCTTGATCCATTATTAATGTCCATGTTGTGGAGCGACACTTTCCCATTATGTTTTCATGGGCTTTACAGCTGCCTCATATTGGAGTTTGTGATGACCTTTAAGGTGATTATATAAATTTGAGATTTACGCTGGGGGGTGGTGCTTCAATGGCAAAACAAGGCTTACAATGTATGTGGTATTGACTTTCATCTTCTTCCATTGAACTCTAATATATACGTCCTTTTAGTCTTGTCAATGTCCATATGTTAAATTGTTAGTAGCAACCGGCAGTGACCACCACTTGTCTCTCTTGTCCAACACACACACACACACATTGTCATTGGACACATCAAATACTCATAAAAGGTTAAAACATAATTTGGTTTTAGCAAACACAAACAAGGTATGGGTTTATGCCAAGTGTGCACAGGAGACACATTCAGGAAGAATGTTCATTCCAGGTTTTAGTAGTGATTCTTACTGCAGTCAGCAGTGTTTTCTTCTGATTTCATTTTTTTCCTCAACCTAAACATCTGTGTTTTATTTCTCACTTGCACTACTTCTCTGCTGGTTTTCTGCTACTCGAGATCATTTTGGGTAACTCCACATCGTCAGTGGTTGGAGGAGAAAGTAGAGGTTTTATTATGATTAATAGCGCCCCAATATATTGATGATTCTATTTTTTTAAAATTGTGAGTTCCATTGAAACATTGGCGGTACTGGTAATGGCGCTACTGCAAACCACAGAACAGGAAGTTGTAACTCAAGCATACATTGTCCAATCTGCTCCAAATTCCATATGTTCAAAAAGAGTCCCTACCTGAAGTCAATTACATGCCAATATTCAGTCACCTGTCTGTGGCCAGTGCCACCTACCGGAACAGAAAGTACGCCTCATGTCAAAATTATCATTCCATGTGCATGACATTTTCAATGTCTGGTCTACATGTTATCCATATCAACAAAATGCATGTTAGGTGCATGCTCTCCAGTGCCAAGTAGTGGACACAGGAATTGATAGTGCAATTCATCATGTCTTCCACCATGCACATGAGCAAGAAATGGCATCTTACTCATTTGCTCAGTGTCAGGTCTGTAATGAAACAACTGGACGGGAGGCTTACCTGCACAGCTGCTGTAACACTGTTTGAGCGTTGAAACCGACGATATCTATCAACCAGAAGAACACAAAGAGTAAATACAACAATACAACTTTTACAGAATTTAGAAAAAGATCCCAAAAAACAAGAATTTATAAGATTATTTGTCACTACTTGCACATATTTCTCAGCAGTAATAATAATTTCCAATCATCTTGTAACCATTGATATTACCACTGGCACTAGGCTCTTGTTTTCCACTCAACACCTTATAGATTTGAGCATTTTAGTATCCCTGGAAGATGTATTGTTTGCATCTTCCAGGGATTCATTTGCTTCTGGTATGGTTTCCAAATTGGAAATTTCTATCTCATGAGGGGCAAACATTTTTGTCTGGTGTCACAGCCTGGCTCAAGACTGTTGACAAAAAGTGACATGGGCGAGGTGGTAGCTCAATCAAAAAGAGGATTTAACAAAGAATAAGTATAGGGTTCAAAATAACACAACATATTCAAAAGGACATACACAAAAGCACACACAGTCAACACAGAAGGAAAATGCTAAATGTGTGCCTCACCCCCTATCATCTTCCACTTGTATCCCCACAGAGGTGAACTTAGATGGGTCCTCTGGATCTGTAACCTCTCCTGGTTCATCCACCTAGAGGGGAAAGGCAGGATACATTCTTAGTCAAGACAAATGATACAAATATAAGCACAGTATTTTATAATACAGATTTTGTGTTTTTCTATCTTTATTTTGTAGCTCCTCCACTGTTGTCTCATGAATACCTGGATGCCTATGGAGAGACATTTGCCCTTCCTGAGTGCTTCTTTCCTGTATTGATCCCGCTGCTCAAAAGGCCCCCTGCTTAGAACTGAGGAGGTGGGGGGGCTGACCGTCATGGTGCTGTTATTCACATGCTGACTGGCTGGTCCGTGGACCTGCGCATTAATTATAAAGACAGAAATTTAAGTACACTTTGAATACAAGAGTCAGAAAACAAATACAATGTATTTGCACAAATAATGGCTTCCCATTATTGGGAAGTAAGATTGGTTAAGCAAATTAAAAACAAACCTGTGCATTAGCAGCTTCTATTGCAGCTGTCAAGGCCTTCATGCTGTCAATACTTTCTGTTGAATTACTGAGCCCTGATTGGATGGTCATGTCACCTCTGGGTGCCTCCTCTTCCATGTATGCATCCTGGTTGGTTTTAGAAAAAAAGGACATTGCTTTCAAAGACAGGTGTTAAAATGACTATTATCATGCCATAGTATCATGAACATTTGATCCTTCAAGAATTATGTTTTGACTATAAGGCTAGCCAGACCATAAGCTCTGACATTCAACAGAACTGGAAACTAATTTTAAAAAAATCTAAAAGTAACTAGGAGTAAACATCCCAAAAGATTTAACACATTTATATGCCTTAAATGTTAGGCCGTTAAGTAATTCCAATGTTAAACTTTAAGTCAAAAATTGAGCTCCTTGAAATAACAGATCAACCTTACAATAAATGGGAATTTTAACATTAACTATGATAAATTATTTAAGTATTTATGTGTTTAAAATTTCACAATAAAGTGTGTTGTTTAAAATATAAATAAATATGTTCAGTGGAAATATTTGAGAAACCAGTGTTCGGGGTACACAGTCTATGGTTCAGGGGCGCTCCAAACACTTTGGGAGTCTCACGGGTAAACAGGGTTGCAGCCAAATCCAATACAATTGAAGAAACTGGTGATCAATTTTTCAAACGTAACCCAGTTTCTTCAATTGTATTGGATTTGGCTGCAACCCTGTTTACCCCTAAAAATCCAAAAGTGTTTTGTGGACTCAAACACTTCACCCACCACTCCATAGGCATAGTGGTGAGTAGATAATGAGTGGAAGTTTATTTTTTGGTGAACCATCCCTCTTAGAAAGTTCTACAAGTCATATTCATAATGTGTTCTTAAACTGCAGAACAGTTTGCACATGTTCTTGCTCATCTCTGTCCCTCTGCTCCCCCCTCCTATAGTTCCCTTCCATAGTCTCTCTCTGTCTCAGGTTCAGACAAAATGTTCTAAATAATATGAAGGTTTGGGTCGGTGACCAAGTAGAGGTAAAAGTATTAAAAATAACTACTTAAGTAAGAGTAAAAAAGTATCTCATAAAAAACTGCTCAAGTATTATGAAAAATACATGCTTTCAAACATTGTGAATAAATTACATTTTTAAGTAAAATTTAAGTTCGTTTTTGAAACTGAATGCATGTGCACACAATTAAAACCTTACTTAGAAATGCTAACCTAATCAATGCAAGATGGCAAGATTAAAAAATACAAATAATATTCCAATAAATTGAAGACATTTATTCCATGCCATATAATATGCAACTTCCAAACTAGGTCATAAGATAAATAGGTGAAAAGCACAAATGAAGCTCAGCGTAAATTCAGTCAAGCACTGACCGATGTGGAACACCACAAAAAATGTACTTTGGGCTAAGGAGAATGTATTTCCTTTTAATTATGTTGAGAAACTTGAAACATTGAAAAACTGATCCAGATACGCCAATATGGTTTTCAAGTCTGTTCAGTTAAATGTTGTGATTAACAGTGTTGAAAGTGGCCCTCAAGTGGAAGTGGAAGAATAGAGAGGTTTTTGCATCATTTTTGACAATAAGATCACTGATTCATTTGAAAAGAGCTGTTTCAGTGTTGTGATTCATACTAAACCTGACTGTTACAGATCAGATCACTGATACATCATACAGATTGTGGAAGGTTATGTAGTTGTGCGGTTGTTTGCATACAATCTTTTCAGGGATCTTACTAATAACAGGAAGTTTGAAAATTGGTCTATATTTGCTAGTCATGGATGGGTCAAGATTACTTTTTTCAGAACTAGGATGACAACAGCATGCTTGAGAAAAGTAGATGAAATACCACTTGTAGTGAGCCAATAATGATATGCAGGGGATCATCTGATGAGCACTGAAGGATACATTTAAACAGTTTTGTGCTAATATGGTCGAGAGAACTGGTGGAATATTAAGGCTGATGGACTTTGTCCACAAGATCACAGAGTTAACAGGTGAAAAATTGCTCAAAGTAGCCAGGATGGTAGACTGATGTGATGGAGAATGAGAGGGTAAACAGTGGTTTCAGTATTATTTCAGATGCTAATAACATTTACCTGAAAAGAGGAGAAAAGAAAATTATTTTTACTGTAATTTATCAGTTACTAAATATGATGCTGATGTCTTCGTACGGAGGTCATGCTAAAAAGATAGAGAAGTGAATTGAATTCGCCAGAGATGACAATGCAGTCAGTCAGATTTTTGCTCAGATTTTGTAGCTCAGTAAATTCATTTGTAAATAATTTTTTGGACTAGGTGATAGACTGTTTGTAGCAAAGTAGGAGATACAGGTTTAACAACAATAGCTAGACATTCCAAAGTTGAAAAATCACCATGGCTATATGGTCAGCATAGAGAGCAGCAAAACCAATTAGTCAAATTTACTGCCACAAATTAACCAGGAATGTTTTGCTAACTAAGGATCTCACATTGAGCACCACTTTTAAGGTCTGTGTATTGGTGACAGATCTAGATGTTGTCTGTCACAACAGTCTGAATGGGTAGACTGGCAGCTGAGGCAGTAAATGACAGGATGGAACAGTTGGGGGAGATCTGTCAATGGGCAATCCTGAATGGTGGCACCATAGAGGAAGAGGGAGGTACCGAGGCATCTGTTTCGGTGGCATTCAGTCAAACATGTGGACAGGATTGCATGGTGTGGTGCAGATTAGCTGCTAGCATGCATCTATCCAAAATATTTGGATGAACCTTTCTTATGTCCGAAAAACTACAGAGGGAAACTCACCTCATTACAAAGTGTGTTCTTCCACATGTGCTGCATGTTAATGAGCCCTCTGGATAAAGTTTCACCCTTTACTTTCCTAAACAGTACAATATTTCACAGATGGACATTCTGATACTCTGTAACTACACGGGCATTAACATTAGAATCTTTGTACCTGTGCAGACTCTGTGCTGCTCTGGGCTGTGATGGAGATGTAAGGCTTGGAGGCTGTGGAGCAGGTGGAGGTCCGGGGTGGCACTGGTGGAGGGGTTTTCTTGTATGTGGTAATGCAAGAAGAAACTACAAAAGAAGCAGAAAAAGTAGGGAAAAGGTTAGATTTCTGCAACCAGTTAAAAAAAACAAGGTGTCCATGTTCACAGTTAAACTCCTGGGGACATTACATTAGAAAGGGTCAAATTAAAGTTTAAACATTTATTCCACATTAAATTTATTTGGGGTTTGTCAGCTTCACATAGAACATAATAAAATATATGACAAACTGCTGTAGGCGGTAAAAGTGATCTGTAAAAGCAGGCTATTGTCTGGAAGTGAAGGTGCAGAGTTCAGGTCGCTGTCTCTGTATGCTAATAGGCAGGCAGTCTTAACTTCACTTTGAAGCAGGGTTGGTCAGCTGGCCAACCCAGACAGAAGCAAACCATTCCAATGAAATCTGACACAAGCTAGCTTGGTAAACTTGTTATTTGGACACAAAGGCTTCGAATGGGTGGCCACTAGCAGACCCGCTGTGGGATGTGGCCGACCAGCTTGAAATCAACACGTTTGTGCTGTTAATATTTGTCAGATCAATCAAACAACCAGTGCAACCAGAAAATACGTTATTTCACTAAACGAATAACTGATATAGTTGTTACTGTATTAACTTTAACGAAGTTAATAAACCATGGAATGTTCAGTCCTATTTAATTTTTTGTGCAGCAAAGAGTGCCAAAAATCTGCCATGTTCACATACACCAAGGCACCCAGTGGAGAGTAGGTTTCTGCAACATTTACAGCTAAATTATAGCCTGAGATGCAGCCAAAATGAAGAATGTGGAAAAATTAAACCAAACAATTGTCAAAACCGGATCTGTACACTAACATGCCCCATTGTCATTGATTATGTGATACAGACAGTTGCTGTATAGTTATTATTTTTTACTAAAAGTGATTATTACCTGTACTCGTCACTTTATCCTAGCCCAGGTCTCAAGACTGTTTGGCCAGTCAAACTATGCTGATACAGATAGGCCCAGACAACAAAGTGATGAAGGTGATCAACAGCTACTGTGTAGCAGTCCCCCTACTAACCAGGCTAACAGGCTTATTTGAAGATGACCAGTTTAGGTAAAAGACATAATTTTTTTCTAAAAATCAAGAGGGGCACAGATTTACAAGCAATAACTATTACATGCAAATGAGGAATGGAGAAAAGATAACCAGGTCCTGGCTTGTATACAGTGGGAAAAAAGGACTGTGTTATGTGCTCCTCTTGCCTTCTGATTGGAGACCGAGAAAAAAACCCTCAGCTAGGTGTCTCGCAGCCCACTTGAAACAGCATGCAAGGTCACAAACATGGATACCTTTTCACAGAAACTACAAACAAGCACAGCTATAGTTCCGGTGAACCTAGGTCTAATTACGTTACAAGTAGGACTTAGATAAATAAGGATTGAAAAAAGTGAACGAATGCAGAGGGCCCCATGCCTGTTCATGCTTCGGGCCCCCAAATTGCTAAATCCTCCACTGCACATAGGGAATTTCACTACATCAGGCACAATTCACTAAGACTTAAGGGTGACCTGGTTAGAATTTGTTGACCAAAAGGCAAAGTCAAGGTGGCCTCACAAAACATGGCCTCTTTAATGTAATATCTCATGGCAGTCTTGAGGGAATTTCTATAACATTTAAATAGTTGTTACTTGGAGCCAAAGATTAGCTGACTAGATTTCTGTGGTCAAAGGTTACGGTGACCTTATATTAAAAAAAATGTATGTTGATGGAAACAGGTTGGGGGTCACATACAACCGCAGTGTGATATTTCTTTTGTGGTTTCAATTAATACTTCAAGACTTGAGGAATAATAATTAAGATAATCCTGGTGAGGTTGGTTTTTACCCTGTAAATTCAAATATGCAGTGAGGAAAGTATTTTTCCTCCTCCATATCTCTTCTGTGTCTATCTTCCACAGTGCTGAGCCTGCAGACTAACATCAGCAGAATATTCATGTTGCCTATGGACAGGGTCAGAGCAGCTCATCACTTGGGTTCTGATTTCTCAGCAGAAAGCTAAAGGTTCTTAGGGGGCACTTTTGAAAGAGCACTTTTTAGCCTCTTGGCTCTTGGAAGTCAGCTTGTTTGACTGACATGTTATATACTGAGAAACTGCATTGCTGTTTGATGGTCTGTGAAAAGATATGCTCTGATTTAAAGATAATCTTTAACATTTTCCAAGTGATTCAAGAGCAAGTCTGATGAATATCATCAGATGTTGTCATTGATGCATTTCAAAGTTTGCTTTATTGTCAATTCTGCAAATGTACAGGACATATGTCCTATATTGAAATTGCAAACCCATGGTGTTAATAAACATTCAATAAACAATAATAATAAAACAATAAACTCTAAATTGTGGAATCGGAATGTAGTGTACCGTGTGTAAAAATATAATTAATGAAACTATGTTTAGTGCTATAACTATGGACAGTGCATAAAGTGAAAATCAGTGTATACAAATGTAACAGTCTATAATATATAAATCTAAACCAGAACTAAAATCAGAAACTAAAATGAGGTAGTAAGATAAATAAGAATATAGTGACAGAACTTAAGGCACCTACAGATACAGAATTGACTGGATGAGGTTATGAAAAACAGTAGTGCAATCAACATTGGTGCCAATGGTGGCATTGTGTGAATGGGGTTGTACTTCAGTGGCATACAGATAGGAGGAGCAGGGATGGAACCTTCTGATCAGTGGATGACCAGTTCTACCTCCTGAGCCTTTTTCTTATTTGGGGTGGCGGTACCCCAAGTAAGAAAATATTGGGTTTAAATTAGAAAGAAGTGAGTTAGCCTAAAGAATGTGTGGAATACAAGGATAATATTCCTGGTTCTGCCTCATCAAGTTTGACTCATTATGATTCTGACATTAGGCCTCGTGCAATAACTTTTTCTTATCCCTGTCTTAAACTTCTTACTTATTCATGCGTGTATTTTGAACTACATTACATTACATATCATTTAGCTGATGCTTTTATC